ACACACATGATAAAAACATGGGGGAAACAGGCGATCAGGTCATGCCTCCATCTGGTGAATTCCAGCTCCATGAATTCTGGCATTGTCATCTTGGAATATGGCCGTGCTATCAGGGAAGAAACAATCCATTGATGGAATAACCTGCTCATTCAGTATATTCAGGTAGTCAGCTGACCTCATTCTTTGAGCACAAACTGTTGCTCAACCTAGACCTGACCAACTGCAGCAACCCCACATCATAACACTTAGTTAAATCCAGGTGGCAACATTTTTTCTTAGCCGGGTAGTGTTTATCCCACAGTCAAAGTGGGACACTAGTTTCCACCACTAAGGGTGGTGGAAAATATCAGGTCTAAGATATTGTGGGACTTCCATGTTCGGACTGACAGACGATGGCTAACCAACAACACATCGTGGTGGTTGATAAGCTATAGAAGAAGTAAGTAGTGATAGATAGAGCAATCCCAAGTGACTGTAACATCAGGAAGAACCATGAAAAGCTTGGGAAATACCAAGGGTTGAAAAAGGAAAGACAGAAGTTGTGGAGAGTTAAGGCATCAGTCCATGTGGTCACTGGAGCACTCAGTGTTGTGACCCCCCAAACTGGAAGAATGGCTTCAACAGACCCCAGGAACAACCTCAGAGATCACTGTTCAGAAGATTACAATCCTAGAAACAGCTAAGATACTAGAAGAATAGAAATAGTTTTTATTGTCCCGCAGAGGGGAAATCCAGGTGTCACAGCAGCATCCATACAGAGGTTCACACACTAGTTATTTTACAAACAGTACACACAAAACAAAATTAACACTGATTAGCCATGATACGACTACTAATAATAAAAAATATAATATAAATAATTGTGCAAGAATAGAAAAAGATGTGTTTTGTTTTAGAGACAATAGACTATCAGAATCTGACATTAGGAATCAGAAATTGCCTGTTTCCAGTGCAAAACAATCTCAACAGACTATTAAACTGTAAAGTGAAGCATCACAATGTAGACAAGAAATACAGATGTGCAATTACAGCAGAGTTTTTTAAGTTTTAAAATGGGTAATAACAGAGCAGGTGAATGCTCAGATTAGTAATAATATAAATTAGTGGTGCTGCAAATGATTGTTCAGATGAGTAATTAAAATGAATAGTAACAGTACAAATGATTGTGTGGGCAGCAGCAGGTGTGTAAACACTTATTGTGATTTTTGTAAACATTTATTGTGATTTTTGGGTGTGGTGCTGGTTGTAGAGTCAGACAGCTGCAGGTAGTACTATGCAGAACCCTCAAACTCCATGGTCTCTGGTTGGCGACACAAGTTTGAAGTGAAGTGGAACCACCTGAGTGGAYGAGTAGGGCAAGCTACAAGTTAAATAAAATAAATCAGCCACCCTGATCATTTGAGGAAAGTATGCTTTCTAGTTGTCACAGCCAGCTAACAAGAGACACAACAATGATTATAACTCAATCAGTTTTACAGGAACTCAGAAAAAAATGTGGTTGCGGGTGAGATTCTTCCCCAACACATTCTCTGAGCACTAACAAATCTTGTGAGGTAGCAGATATTGGGCCTCATGCAAGAACATGTTCATATTCTTATCCTAAATTTCTCTTACTTTTGTTCGTACAAAGGGTTCGTACGAAMATGTCACGTCAGATTCAACAAACTCTTCTATCTTCAGGAAAAGTGTGTAAATGAGCTGCGTAAATTACACCTGTTTGTATCCAGCTTCTCGTGCACGCGAGAGGAGATTAGCATAATTACCACCCCAAAAACACCATATAAGGCTATGTTTCCTGCCTCAGATACAACGAAGTGTTTATTCATGAAAATGACAGCGAAAATTAAAAAGAAGAACTTTACGAGTTCAGAGATTGAAGTCCGTCTGTCAGAGATCCAGAAAAGAAAACCTGTCATTTTTAGCAGGTCAGCTGTGGAATAAAAGGGCTGCTAAAAGTATAAACAACTGTGTTAAATTATTTTCATTTATTCAGAAGCAGCAGCGCTGTGCACCGTGCCATAAAAAAAATTATCATGGAGTGTAATTTATTTTCAACTCAAAATATCTTCAAACTAACGAAATATAAAAATATTAGGGAGGAAAACCCGTCTGGATAACAGCAGACTGACTGCTCGTAAAATATACGACAGGTCTGGACCACTCGTRAATTTTGTTYGTATCTGAAAAAAATCWWAGAATACGAAAACATTGGTGAATGCCACAAATTCTCCTAAATCACTCGTACGCACAATTTAAGAACAAATCTGTGCGTACGAACGGTTCTTGCATGAGGTCCAATGTCTCCAAGACTTACCTAAACAGTTTCAAGGTCAACGTGATTAAAAAGTGCAGAAATAATATTAAAAAAGACATAAAGATTGTATTAGAGACACTATGTTGTAACTGATGTGTGCAGAGAGACGGTGTGTGTGTGTGTGTGTGTGTGTGGGGGGGGGGTTAGGAGGTGAAAAAGCTTCAATCTGAAATAAAGGGAGATTAAATTGAAGAGGAACCAAGGGCAGAACGACAATCAATGCGTTTTTCTTGAAAAAAAAAACCTCCACAAGCAGTAGGAGGAGGTTGTTATGTAGCAAACCAAAACAGGATGGAGGAGGAAAAAAAGGAAGAGGAGGGGAAAAAAAGAGAAAGTACCAATTCAATACACAGCCAATGCATAATACATAGAGAGAGAAGAGAGGGGAGAAAATTGCTTGGTGAGAGATAGAAGGCACATATACTGTATGTGGACCGGACAAACTCTGACTGTTTCTTTCATTAGGTCTGCAACCGAGGGTTTTTATTGCGTTTGAGGAGGAGGAGGGAAAACAAGATGGTAGGTTGGAGCTGGAAGAGATTTCAGATGTAATATAACAGATTGATTCTAAGGAGGCTGATTCAGCAGTAAATTTGATTTAGACCAGCGGAGTAATTTTTTGGTCGGAATAAATGAAAAGGATCGGGTTGAAAATATTAAGAGTAATGCTTTTACTCAATAACAAAGCACTAGGATTAAATTTTCCCTTAAGTTGGTCAAAGACAAATATTCACTAATGTGCAAATGCTGGGCAGATTCTTTCACTTCCTGTGTCCCTCATATGAGCCGGAGCAGCTTTTTGAAGATACTTTTTCAATGAAACGTGTGGGAAAAAAATTTTAATGAAAAAAAGTGTTCTCCTTCTATTTCCCTGCACTCTGCAGGCCTCTTCCCAGCGGTTCCCCTGCCGCCCGCTAACAGGAGAGGACAGCCAATCGAAGTGACCCAGCCTAAGCGTGCCATTTTCCCGCTATTGTTGCCTGGTTGAAAATCAACCCACACTCTCACAGGCCATTTAGCTGCAGCAGTAACAACGAAGGCAAACACTCGCTCGATCCAAAACCGCTCAAATGGATTTGGTAAAAGGCTCGGAGGAGAGAAGAGAACAGCACTGTAACTGTCGTTTGTTGTGTTTGTTTGTTTTTCTTAATAGACTTAAAAGACTGTTTTCACCTCAACAACGTATATAGCTGTATCCCTGTTATTCCAGCTTCAGAGTACTAAAACATTTCAGTTTTACTGTCATCCGTGAAATGATTTGATTTCTCAGTATTCACAAAGCACACCACAATGGCAGAGGACAGACAATCTAAATGATCCAGTCTAAGTAGTCTACAYCTGGTAGTCTACTGGACTACCAGGTGTGAATACGACCTAAGTGACAGTCATCTTAGAGATTACAGTGGTTTGCAAAAGTATTCATACCCCTTGAACTTTTCCATATTTTGTCACATTACAACCACAAACATAAATATATTTCACTGGAATTTAATG